GAAAGAGTTCCTCGGGGCATTGTGGGATATGGTGTTTATAGGTATCGTGGCACAGTTGCACTGTTCCATGTTCCTTGCTTGTTTTGCACTCAGTGTCTATGTTGTCTCCAGTTTGGAGTCTAGAGAGGAAGGCAGGAGCACATTGGGACTTGGGAGTTTCTCAGAGGAAGGTATGGAGCAGTCTAGAAGATTTCACCAGTTCCCTTCCTCTCTCCCATTAAAGGGCACTGGTGCTGCCAGGATTCACTTGCAGAGCCAATAAAACTGAAAATAATAGTCAGTGAAATGATGTCCCATTTGCTCAGTTGTGGCGCTGCAGTTGGTGTGGCCCTGCAGGAGACAGAGAACATCAAGGGAAGCTCTCAGGTTGGTGAGAATCCATACTGAACTCACCCACCTGTGCTCTGAGGAAGAGGAGGATTACCTGGCCAAGCTCATATGTGGCTCCCCACCCCCTCCCAGCTGACTGAAAAACAGGCCAACAGTCTCCCATCAGTTGTTGAGCTTGAGACACGAGCTCTACATTTTCCCCTCTTCCGCTCCTCCCCCTGTGCTTTAGTAAGTTTTGGCTTCTTGCAGCCCACCGAACTCCCCTCCTCCTGCAATGTAGCTATCTGTGCCTCCCTGTGGTGAGAAGGACAATGGGTGGTAGGGCTCTCACAAGTTCCTCCCATAAGAAAGAGGACTTGAGACTGGACCAGGGTAGGAGACTTTAGCAATGGGGGCTGCTCTTCCTGGCTCCTGTCTTGGTCCCATAAGTTCAGATGTGAAACACTGCACTATTGCCCTAGACAGCAGAGAGTGTAAAGCACATCTTCATACTTACAGGCCAGGCTACCCGAAAGTGGTAGGTGAATTCCTGGAATGACAGCATTACTATAGGCCAACGGTGCATCCTTTCCTGAAGGGAAGGAGAAGACATGGTCACTGAATTCTAGAAGCAGACCTCAAGGACCATCTAGTTCCATTCCTGCACAGATGTAAGAGCTGTGGTTCCTAAACAACTGCACATGGCTCACATGCAACAGTGGAATCCCTAATGTTTGGTGTTAGGTACCCTTGGTGACACAGATATAAAACATCTGGCTCCACTGCATTGGCTTCTCAGGCATCATCCTGCAAAGCCCAGAGAAAGGACTAGGGTCCCAGACACCAGTGGTGGAACTGGAGTAACATGTGTGGGAGGGAACCCAATATCCTGTGCTGGCCATTGGAGAAACATGTCCAGCTGCAGAAGTGCCATAGCAAGGGAGGTTGGCTGAGCTGACAGCAATTTGTTTGCAAAGGTGCCATGCTCACACTGCCTTGCAAAATGCTGGGTGAGGAGATCTGCATACGCGTGGGTTTAAATGATTTAAGTTAAAAGCTGGATACCCCATTTGTAAACCTGCGGCTGGTGTAGTGGCCTCTTTATTAGGGGAGCTGCAGGGTGGGAGGAGGCAAAAATGGTTGCCTGTAGAAAGAGGAGAGCTAAATGTCCTGTCCCACAGAGTTAATGGGAAAATACAGAAATCACACCACTAAATTAGTAGGTGCAGACAGAGCAGTCAGTGAGAGGAAAGGGGTCAGGAATAAGGAAACAAATGGTCTTAAAGAGGATGGTGTCACAGAGGTAAACAGTAGTGCAGGGGGTGCAGCAGCAGGATAAGGAAGGAAAGGACATTGTTAATGTAAACCCAGAGGCCTGTATGGGGATGGGAATAGAGGAATATAAAGTTAACATGACAACAGTGTTCCTGAGGTTGGAGGTTTGCTGAAGGCTCTGAGGCTATCGTGCTGCACAGTATCCAGGGCCCTGCCTGTAGCCTGATTCAAGGGGTTTGGCAGAAGTGAGGTAATTCCCTCACCTTGTGGGGCTGGAGACAAAGCAGCGCACTGAGAAGCAGGGTCAACTGGCTGACCCCAAGCTTGGTGTTGCTGCAGCTAGATTGCTCCCCAGGCCAGAGCTTGCTCAAGTCTGTTCATTTTGTTTTACAGTGTAGACATGGCCTCTGTCCTTTGAGGAATGCCACATCCTTACCTGGGTCCCTGTTGTACTGGTGGAGCTGTCGACACTCACGGCATCCTGACACGGGCTGCTGGAGTTAATGCCACAAAGGTAGATGGACACAGCCGAAGAGGCACTGAAGAGATGTGCATGAAGTGAGACAGGGAGCTACCACCATTAGAGGTTGGTGGCTCTGAAACAGAACCCCAGCAGCTTCCCACTCCCTCCATTGTTACCCCAGCTCTACAGCCCGCTCCGTACTCAGCTTCTCATGACCTGCCCCTTTCCACCACATCCATGTAGTCTACTCCACTCACAGCTACCTCCCAAACTGCTCCTTCAAACAACGGTCTCTCCTTTCACACAGCTACACCCCTCCCCACAAAAATTGCTCCTTCCCATCTTGCCCCCTGCATGCCTTGCCCCACTCATGGCTACCCCACAAACTGCCCCTTCCCATCAGTCCCAGAAAGCAAGCTACTTAGTTCTCTCATGCACCTTTCCCTTATGCCCTATCAGAGCCAGACTTTTCATACAGTACTCCATTACCCATCACTTCCCCCTCATACACTACACACCCCTGCCTTCATAGTGCCCCCCCATACCTTTCTGTTCCTTCTCCCAATATTAGCTCTTGAACCATGACCCTGCAATCTGATTATTCCCACTGCTCAGAGTAGAACCTGTTCTCCATCTCACATAAAACTTGCCTCCTCTTCCCACTCTGCCCCTCTCCTTTTGCACCCATGCCCTTATTAGCCCTTTGTGCCTTCTCCACTCAAATTGTCACTCTGTTAGTCCCCTGCTTCCACGAGGTCACTGCTAAATTCTTCCCTGTGGCCCCCACTCTCTCAGGAATGGAAACCAACAGGAGACAAGCCCCTTGACTCACTTCATCTCCAAGGTCATGTTGGTGTTCACTGCTGTGAGCTGGCTGATGGGAATACGGTAGGTGAGGTTTCCCATCCTGTGGGGACAAATGAAGAAAGACCAAGGTTTAGCATCAATGCAACCTACTTCGGAGAAAGATCAATAGGGGAGGGCATCCTGCACCCTCCAGCAATGTGGCCATCACCCTAGTAGGGCTGTGCAGGCTTTTTGAGCAGAAAAGAATCCTGTGATCCTACTTTGTCTCAAAGGACCTCAGCCTGATGGCCTCTTTTCACCAGTTCCAACAAAACTCTAGTCGGGAGCTGGGCCCAAGGATCAGCCATGAGAGATAGACCCTTCCACCCATCCCTGCCAAATGAGGCCTCAGACAGCAGCAACCCAAAGTCTTTAGAGGACTACAGACCTCCTGGAATGGGCTGGAGGAGTGACTCAGACCACTCCCTACTGGGACAAAAGAGTACATCGTAACCATTACTGAGCTGGGCAGTAACGAATCTCCTTGTTGGCATTGTCAGCAAAGAAGCCAAGGATTGAGGGTGTGATGGAGAATGAACAAGAAGGCCAAGGCAGGCTATGGCACAGTAGCAGGGCTGTGTCAGGGAAGCCAGACTAGCTGAACCTGGCCCACACAAAACAAGAGCTTCCATCTGCCGTGCAGACATTTTTGCTGCCATCAATGCTGGGCAGCACGAACCAGGCCCTCACTCACCTGCATGTGTCGCTAGTTGCACAGTACTGGGATGTGATGGCCATGCCAATTTCTACGATCTGTATGGAGTGGAGCAAAGGGCTTGAGCCTGCAAGACAGGGGAGAGGTTACAGAGGAGGTGAAAGTATCCACGAGTCTGAGAAGAGGCAGAGAAGTTAGGGTTGGGAGGGACATCTGTGAGGCCAGCTCTCCCCACCACTGCCACATTGTGGATTCCTTCACCCTCATCACTAATTCCCCATCTCCCTCCACCTCCACCAGGCTGTGCTGGTCCCTGCCTGCAGCATCTCACAGCAGAGCAGCAGGCTGCCCTTTGTCAGTAAGGGCTACAGCCAGTGTCTTCCAACAAATTCCTTCCCTTCATAAGCAACTGCCAGTTTTTGGAACAGCCATGTGCTCATAGGCCCCGGAGGCTTCTAAGTGAGCTGGGGTGCTTGTCCCTCTGAAAATAAAGTCTCTTGCATCTTGGGTGCATAATGCTTTTCTCAGAGAAGCCTGAGGGTAAGTTCCTAAATCCCCATCCAAACTCCCTTAGGCCACCCAGAATATCCTAACCTCACCCCCCCCTGGCTCTACACACAGGTAGCTCCCTGCACCACCACTTCTGCACCTATCAGAACAGGGGCCTTCTCTGCCTCTGTGACATCAACCCTGAGCCTCTCTGTTGCGCTGGCAGAGGAGACCGAGCCAGGAAAAGGCTCTACCCCAGCTCCTTCTTGGACTTGAGCTGTCCTCTTATAGGTTCTTCACCTCCACCACAGGTGTTGGGGTGGAACACACTTGGGATTGCGATAAGCCCTCTCCATATCCCCAAAGAGATAGACATGTCCTTCAAACCCAACCCAGTCTGCAGACCATTGTGGTAGTGGCCACACCTTTTGCTCTGGCACCATCATGTGCCTAAAATTGCATATTTCAGTTGCCCATTTAGTTACTTGGGTTTGATGTGGAAAAGGCTAAATGAGCTGGGAGGCTGGGGGTTGATGTGGCAGAGGCAGGGAGCTGAGAGAACTCAAGGCAAGAAGTAGTATATAGGGACTGGATGCACTTTGAACATCTGGCATTTCTGAAAACTTCATCTCTAGGGCTTTAAAGACCGTCATCCCCCAAAGGGCTTTAAAAGCACTAGGAAAAATTCAGAGCTGGTGTAAGCAGATGCAGCTCCACTGAAGTCCACCAAGTGGTACTACAGTCTGGATAGTCATGTGCAAATGGACAGGCATGCACCACGACCTGGCAGCTCTTGTCTTTGACACCCAGTGTAACCCACTAGTCCTGTTTGATGGTGCAGGGAGGTAAGGGAGTGTCAACCTGACTGCACATGACAGCCATCATGTTGGGGAAGCAGCAATGGGTGCTACACCGTGTGTTCTGGACTTCTTCTGCCGACCTCTCAAACTCACAGCCTGTGTGGTTGTGGAGTGTGATGGAGTGAGATGCTGCCTCAATACCAAGGCCATCACTTTGGTATTGGGTACTCTGTCAGTTCCCAATCAAGATTTCTGTTACACCCAGGCAGGACTGGGAGACTGGCACCCCGCAGATAGTCATAGGTGTGGCCAAAGTGTGGGGAAACAGAGGTCAGCAGGTCTGGGTCTGGAATGTACTGTGTGAGATAGAAAGTATTAAGGGTTCTGTCAGGGGGGTATAGCTCATTCAAAGAGGGGGCTTTGGTGTTCAATACAGCTTTGGCTTCTGTGAGAGGGTGCAGGGAGACAGTTTAAGTTGTGTGGGACTGAAGTATAGGTTCAGCTTTAGAGAGCAGGGCGACAGGGTGCAGGGGATGGAGATGAGAGATCTACCACTAAGATGTCTCAGGTTATCCACTATCACATGAATTTAACCAACCAGAGTGCAGAGAGGAGACGGGAGGTCCACTTACCTGCCACCTGGGGCCGCTCACTCCCCGATAGGCTGACGCTGCGTTGCTGCCGGGCCTGCCCTTGTGGGAAGCTGTTGCGGGACAGTGAGAGCTGGGAGATGTACTTGGACTTGCTCTGGATGTGGGTGAAGGGGGAGGACGGGCTGGCATTGGGGCTGCCAAAGCCCTGCGATCTCTCAGGGTTCTTTGTCCACTTTGTGTGGGACATCACTTTCCCAGTGATGCCCCTGGATTTGGCTTTGATATTCGTCACTGGCAGAAGTGATGTGTGGCTTTGGTCTGCGGGCAGAAGAAGATAAGCAACTGAGCTCAGAGAGCGGGGAGGCTGAGCTCAAAGAGAGAATTACCACTGCTCCATAGCAAGGCAGATCTCCCCACTGGGCATAGATATCTGAGACCAAATGTTTCTCCAAGCATACAGGGCGTGAGCTCAACTCAGAGGACATGTAGCTCGTAACCAGGAAGAACTGGAGTTGCCTACCCCCCACCCCTCCCTCATGATGTATTCCTACCTCTGTAATGAGGTGAGCCCATCCCCACCCATACGTGCCTGAAGCAAACTCCAGAGGTGTAGAGGGCCATGTGGGTGTGGGGTCTGGTCTGGAAGCAGCAATCAGAGGACCCCTGACAAGGGAAGTCCAGACTCCCAGGGTGAAAGCAAAGTTCAGGCAAGTGCAGTTCAGGCAAGTGCAGTGTTTAATGGTCAATGAATGACACCATTGGTCAGGGCCAACTGCCCCAGGGCTGCTGAGTGATATCATGTCGAGGGCAGATGCTCTTCACATTGAAGCACCAGACAGAGAAGAATGGAGCAAACTGGCTCCTGAACAGCTAACAGTAAGGCATGGCTAATGGCCCATCCAGCCTTGGCTCCAAATTAACACAGACATGGAGGTTGCAATACATGGTAAGGATGAAGCACTCAACCCCAGTGATGTTTTCAGCCCCCGTAGCCCAATGTCTCCCACAGTGGCAGTATAGGTGCTGAGGGGAAGAGTATTTATGCACTGCCTGTCCAGACTAACCTGACCCCTGCCCCTCCTCCTTTACACCTTCCAGGATTCAGACATCTAGGAAGTCCAAACTCAAGAGACTGCAGCCCTAATTATCATATTTCATGCCCACTGATGGACCTGTCCTCCATGAATCTGCCCAGTCACATTTTGAACATGGTTAAATTAGCAGCCTCCCCAACATCTTGCAACAATGAGGTCCACAAGTTAATTACATGCTGTGTGAAAAATAATTTCTTGTTTGTTTAAATCTGCTACCTAATAATGTCATCTTACATCCCATAGTTCTAGTACGGTGAGAGCAAGTAATACCAGTAGTAAATCCCTATTTACTTTCTCCCACATCATTCATTTTATAGACCTCTATTATATTCTATTTTAGTTGTGTTTGCTCTAAACTCAAGTCCTAGCCTATTTAGTTTCTCCTCATACAGAACCCTCTCCATACCCCTAATCATCCCTTACCTGTCCCTCTTCTACCTCTACTAAATCCCAGAACTGCATGCAGGTGTGGGTATATCATGGGTTTATACAATGGTATAATAACATCTTCTCTTTTGTTTTCAATTCCATTTTTAGTAATTCCCAACATCCTATTTGCATGGGCTGTGCTTACCCATCCGGTTGGTGGCATGTGTGGGGCTGGTCTCAGAGACAGCAACAGAGGATGCATTGGTGGGAGTAGCAGAACAGCAGGTGGAGAAGCATGGAGGGCTGAAGCATGCTAGCACACTTTGGCTGGACATGCCATGTGGCACGTTGTGCATGTTTGTTGTGACTGCAAGACAAAGGGGGAGCTTGAGTGAGCCAGCCCCAGAAGGGCAAGATAGCATCAGCAGCACTGACAGCTATGGTCTAAGACATGGCTACTCCCATTCATCAAAGTTCAGTTCCCGTGAGCCCCCCTTGCTGTGACATAGCCATATCATCTCTGGCATATGACAATCCTCAGGAACCATCAGTGCTGAGATAAGGCTATATCTTATGCACTAAATTATATCAGAGTATCTGGGAACCAGCACCAGCCCTATCATGGTACATACTGTGTAAGGGAGCTCCATTGCTGGGTGCACTGGGTGACATAGTGGAATGTACAACCTCCGTCTTGTCAAAGTTCTGATTTGATCTGAAATGCAGGAAAGTGTGCATTAGAGGGCAGGATGCAACCACCAAGGATGCTTGTCTACACCTGGAGGGAAGGCAGGTAAGAAGGGGCTGTGCAGTGATGGCAGATGGTATATGAGGGTGTGGAGTGACAGCAAGAGCAGGAATAGAAATGGGGAAGGATGAAGGTTAGCAAGAGACAGCAGGGCAGGAAAGGGGAAGAGTGCCAGATTTGAGAAAGGAAAGAAGGAAACAGTATGGGGAAGGGGGTCAGGACACCAGGACTACCAGAGCAGGTCACACAGGGGTCCAGCTGCCTCCAAGGTCTGACAGCGAGAAGTACCATGTGCTTCAGACAGGGCCTTCTTTGATTGATTATGGCACAGCCTGACCCTGAGAAGGTGTTTTCTCATCCCCAATCAGTCAGGGGTCAATATGAGTTTTCACATCCTTTCTTGGGCTGCCTTAAGTAACCATACAGTGTCCTTACCTGTGTACATGCTTAGACTTTGCTCAAACCCTACCCACACCCCTGGTCTCTATCACTGCTGTCCCATGAGCTCATTAAGCTTTGTGTGATGGGTCTCCTTCTGTCCCTTTCAACTGTCCTGCCCTTTCCATTTTGCTGAATGCCCCCTCACACTTGGACTGTTAGAAATCAATGAGAAAAGAAGTGTTCAGTCTACTACCTCTGCCCTGTTCACTAGCTTATACTTTCCTCTCTAGCATTCATCTCTTCTCCAAACTGAACAGTCCCACCCATTTAATCCCGTCTCTTTGAGGGACTTCGGATTTCTCTGTACTCTTCCCTGCCCACATCACTTTCCTTCTTGACATACTATGATCAGGACTGATGACAGATCCTGAGATGGGGAAAGTATGAGGGCAGCAGAACTAAGATGCTGGATTTCAAAAAGACAGATTTCAACTGACTTAAGGAGTTAGTAGGCATGGTGCCATGGGAAGACAGACTGAAAGATAAAGGTGCCTAGGAGGGCTAGAAGCTTCTAAAGGGCAGTCTTGGAAGCCCAACAAGAAATGGTTCGAACATGATGAAAGCACAAGAAGGAGAGTAAGAGGCCAATGTGGCTGCTTAAGGAGCTTCTAGGATGCCTCAAATGCAAAAGAAAAGCATACAGGCAATGGAAAAAAACGGCAGGTCACCAAGGAAGTGTACCAGAAAATAGCAAAAAACTGCAGAACAAAATCAGGAAGGCAAGATATAGAATGAGCTGTACCTGGTGAGGAAGATTAAAGACAACAAGAAGAGGTTCTATAAGCATCTTGGCCAGAAGAGAAAGACCAAGGAAGCTGTGAGTCCCCACTGTTAAATAGCCAAGGGGAACTCTTAGAAGATGCAAAGGCAGAGCTACTCAAAAGCTACTTTGCCTCAGTGTTCACAAAATAATTAAGGTGCAACCAGACACTTAATAAAGATTATCTGAATAAGGAAGGAGGCAAGTTGAGAGATGACAGTCAGAGAGCAAAAGACTGCAAAAGAGACAGTCAGAGAGCTTTTGATGAGTCTGAACAAATTTAAGCAAGCAGGTCCTTGTGAACTTCATCCCAGGGTAATGAAGGAATTGTCAGTGGGTATCTTGGAGCCTGTGGCAATAATATTTGGAAAGTTGCGGGAGACAGACGAGGTACCAGATGACTGGGAAAAGGCCAATGTAGTACCCCTTTTTTAAAAAAAGGCAATAAGGAGGACCCAGGGAACTACAGACTACACTTAGCCTCACCTCAGTACCTGGGTACTGGAGCGTATCCAACAGAAGTCCATTTGCAAGCATCTGGAGGAGGGAAGACTGATAACAAGAACCCAGCTTGGATGTACTAAGAACAAATCATGTCAAACAAACGTTCTCTTTCTTTGACAAAGTAACTACTTGAATGGATGAAGGGAAGACTGTGGATATAGCCTGTTTGAACTTCACTAAGGCTTTTGACAAGATCCCAAATGAGCTTCTTATAAACTGATTGGAGAAATATGGGCTAGATAAAACTGCTGTAAGGTAGAAAACCAACTAGCTCAACAGCCACATGCAAAGGGTAATTATAAATGGATCTATGTCAGAACTGCAGAAGGTTTTGAGTGGAGGCCCACAAGGATCTGTCCTGGGCCAAGTGCTGTTCACCTCATTTATTCAATGGGTAATTTGGGTACTGGTATAGAAAGCTTCTTGAGCAAGTTTGGAGATGATACAAAACTGTGAAGGACTGCAAGCATGCTGGAGGATGGGAGCACAGTTCAGAAGGTTCTCAAGAGACAGCACAGCTGTGCTGGAATTAACAGGATGAAGTTCAGTGCTGACAAATGCCAGGTGCTACACCTTGGGAAGAATAATCAAAAATAAAAATACAGTATGGGTGACACCTGGCTGAGAAGAATATGGGAACTTTGGTGGCTCATAGATTCACTATGGATCTGCAGTGTGATGCCATGCAAGGTTAATAAGGTTTTGGGATGCATCAGTAGAAGCATTACGTGCAAGACAGAAGGTGATCACACCTCTCAGCTCAGCACTTATCTTGAGTACTGTGTGCAGTTTTGGGCCTCACAATTTAAAAAGGAGGAGGAGAAATTAGAGAGAGTCTAGGGGCAGCCAACAAAATGATGTTGCCTCTCTGCTCAGAGTCAGACTCTGTTTCCCTTATTTGGAGTCAAGAAGGAATTTTACCCCATGGTCAGACAAGTACAAGCTGTGGGGGGGTTTGCCTTTGGGGTCACTGCCCTCTTCCTCAGATCTCTCAAATGTATTTTAACAACCATTACAGCAGCAGGATATTGGCTGCCATAGCCCCCCTGCTTTACCTGTGGCAGGTTAGGGTGTTATGTCAGGGTTGACTAGTGTTGCTAAGAGGTGAGACAATGGATTTGTATAGAATGGTCTGGATAGGCATGATCCTGCCTCAGGCAGACAGCTGGACTAGATGACCTCTGGAGGTCCCTTTCTGCCATACTACTCTAAGATTCTGTGACAGGACACTAAGCAAAAGCAATCTATTCATTAATACAACTTCATCAGATAATGCTGTTGGGATTAGTCTCCGGTACCATTCTCTTACAGCCTTCACACTTCTTTTGGTGTACAGCTGCTTACTGAGCAGAGGTATTCCAATGAGCTTTCTACAATGATACCCTGGTATTTTCCTTACCAGGTCACATTTAGAGCTCAAGAAGACTATATCCATTCTGTCTTCCCACGCAGCCTGCTTTGTGTATATCAACACCACATTTCTTTTACCATCATATTACCTATCCACCCCCTCACTTGCTTCAATCATTCTCAGAGTTCCTCACCATCTTCCCTAGTTAAAGCATTGTTGCATCTTCTGCTAGATTTGTTCCTTCCTTTTTAAGATCAGTAACAGCTATAGTCTTACAACACCAGGCTCTGTATGCAACCTTAGCGCTGTTACCACTGTGATGAAAACTAGCCAAAACCTTATTTACCTTTTGTGCAGCTGCATCACACTGCAGACTCGCAATGAATCTATGAGCCAAGGCTCCCAGCAATTCAGACACTTGTCTCTGCACTGAAGTAAGGGCCTTGTTACTCATTACTTAACACGTATTATATTTAGATCGTAGTATGCATTAAAGTAACTTAAAGTTTTCCAAGCAGTTGCATGTTAATACTTACTATGATCTAAATATAGATTGTATGACTGTACTGGAGTCTTGAACTGGCTGTGGTGTGATCCCAGGTCCAAGACCAAAAATCACCTGGTATCACACTAGAGATAGTTCAAGGCTCCTGTGCGGTGTGAGTGTTGGGACTAGCTTCCATGCCATGCCAGTGTCACTCCCAGCCCCTGCACCATGCCTGAGCCTTAAACCAGCTCCTGTACAGTGTGGGGGCTGGATCTCAGCATCAGCTGAGAACCCAAAAAGCTCTGGTGTGGTGGAGGGGTATGCAGGAGGGAGACCTGGCAAGCACCCTCCAGTGCAGTGAATGTGAGGGCTGGAACCCAAGAAACAGCCAGTTCAAGGCTCCGATGCAATAAGGTGGTTTGGGAGCCCAACAAACAGCTCTGTTGGGCTCCCAACCCCTCCCCACCGCACCAGTTTCCTGAAAGTATGGAGCAATCTGACATTAGCTCAACACACGTTAGGTAATAAGCTCTGGAGATACTCCTCACCAAAAAAGGCCTAACTTTGCTACACTAAAATGACACTTCACATGTGATTTACTGCTTGAACATTTGGATGCTACTGTTGTACATGCAGTTAACTTGTGCTAAGTGCAACATGTAACAAGGCCCTAAGACTTACTAAGCTATACTTTCCAGGATCTCTTTCAAAAATACCTGCTTCCTTCAGTTGTCTGGGGGTAACTGCTTATTTGGGGGACACTGTACGTTTAAGCAGCAGCCCAACCTAAACTCCCTTTGAAAAGCTGATCAGGGTGGCCACTTGCCCTTTTAACTTATTAAGTAATTCCCATGTCTCCTCTTATGACATCTTGGTCTCTTGCACTGCTTCGGCTTTACAGGGCCTAAGAATTGTGAGGCCAGATTGGTGTCTCCCCAAAAGAGACATATACCAAGAGATGGTTTGGGAACTACTCTGGCCCCTCACTTAGCTGGGCAATACTGTACTCCAGGGCACTCCCATGGCAGTCAGGAAAGCCACTTCAGCATGAGCAAGAGCAAGTTTCTATACCTGTCAACTATTCTGAAGCATCACTCTCCTCTTTACTTGTCTCCTTTTCTCCTTAGTGGTCCAGCCACCTGACAGAGTCTCTCGCAGCTTCCCTGCTTGTGACCTACTAAACATATGCCTTCATTTTGTTTGGCCTTCAGCTGCTTACTGTTCGAATTCCCTCAGGGCCCTCCAGTCCCATCTTCTATGTTACCTACTGGCCTCTGTGCTCCTTCCTATAGGACACTTATGCTGAAGGACACCCATCCAACTCACATAACCTCTTGATCCTGGCCCTTTTCTAACCCTGGTTTTCCCCCTTTCCTTCTTGCTTTGTTGAAGAGTGTCAGTGCCTGCCATTCTTTAGATGGAAGGGAGAAGAAAAGAGGAAGTAGACAGGAAACAGCACTCAAATGACAGTATAATGAAAGAAAAGTAACATACCGTGGACATAAAGCGACTGGGACCCTGGGACCCCTGTGCCGGAAAAGGGCCAGAAGGCAGGCAGTGGGCACAGCAAAAGAGCTGCAGGGCAGCCGGAAGGGAAAGGGAAGAGGAGAGAAATGAAGAGGAGTGGGACAAAAGGACACGAGAGGGGGAGAGCAAGAGGGAGAACAAGGAGGAGGGCATCAGAAATGAAAAGGTAAAGGAAGGAAGAGAAAAGGGGAAAAAAAACAAACAGTGGAAAGAAAATGCATTGGGAGGGAAAAGTAAATGGAGCAGAAGGGAAAAGGAAGAAATGGGAGGAAGTGGGAGGGGAGAAGGAGAAAGAGAAAGAAGTCAGTAATTCAGTAACATGAGGCCTGACATGACTGTAGGCAACTCAAAAATTCTGCCTGCTGTTGTCGAGGCAGCAGATCACAGGCATCCCGCTGATGCTCTTTCCTGCCTTGGGGCACCATTTGGAGAGTCAGACCCTCAGCAAGTGCAACCCAGCCTCCCTCCACTGGCATCAGTGGAAGACTGCTGATTCACATCAGTCAAGGAGTTGCCCCAAGTATTTTGATCTGCAGCCAACTGCTCTAGCCACCCAGGAATAGCCATCACAATGGGTGCTATAGACATGTCTTCATAGCCAAACAACAGCATATTTATTTTCTTATCTTTTCTTTTTAATCTTGAGGAGGCTCAATGGGCACAAAGCTGCCTCTGCCCTCTAGCCTTGGCAAGCACACTCCAGCAGAACTCCACTGCCAGTGGTTAACAATCTCATAATTGGCAATGTATACTCTTTAAAGGCACTAATCAGAGGGCAAATTCTACCCTGTGATTCTTCAAACACTTCTCTAGAGGCTATTTGAGTAACCCTGAACATTTCATTTCAATGATGGGCAGGACTCAAAGATGGAAAAGGCGTCTGGATCCCATCTCTTCCCCACCATCTCCTCCCTCACGGCCTTCAATCCATCCTCCAGGGAATTGTCTAGTCCAGTCCACTGTCAGACAACTCACTCTCAGGAGGAGTTTGTTTCCACAGTTGTATTTCAACCAATCTCCCTACCCTACCTCCTCTCTAGTCAATCCCTCATAGCCACCAGATTACTGGCCCCAGGCCACAAGACTACCATTCCTTTAATCTCTGTTCACTGCAGTTAAGTGGTTTATGTGGGGGTAGATGCCCTCCACCCCTTCTCTGTTCTCTCTTCAGCTTGTTGGCTTTGTTTAAATACCAGCAAGCCACTAGACAATGAGAGAAACCACAGAGAATTTGTGCCTGGAGGAAGGGAGGGGGAAGGGCAGGAGATACATACCCATCAATATCTGCCAAGTCCTCCTCATTGCGCAAGCTCAGCACGTACAGAGTGGACATGGACACCACACTGGGGAAGAGAGAGAATTTTAAGTGTGAGGGTGAGTATCGACTCTGCAGCAGGGGAGTAGTGACTCTCCCACCAGAGCAAGTCAATGCATCGCCATCTGATCTATACCCAATCCAGGCTAGATGGGCAGCTGTAGGTCAGTAACTTCCCAGCCCTGGTGGTACTCACAAATGGCTCATGCAGAACCCTTCTATTGTCTGCTCCTCTATGGTATCACAGGCTGATGTCAGGTTGCTTCACCAGTTGCCATGAGCAACAAGGCCACCCTGAGAGATGAGCATTTACCTAGAACTCCCTGGAGTGGATCAATTGGTCTGGCCAGCAGTTAAGGCAGAGGTATTTTTATTTGTTATGCACTGACCACAGCTCAGCCTGTGGATGATCATGGAGTAGCTGAGCTCTCTACACTGAGGAGAGCATGCAATGAATGACATGTCTGATACATGCAGTTCTTCTGTTGGGTAGAGGTCATGGCTGATGGGGCTCTGGCAAATGGCAAATGGTGGCCTGGGAGGGATATGAAGAACAGCAGGGCTCTAGGGTAGAAAAGGCATTCACAGATACAGGGAACAACAATGAGATTGGCTGCATGAGCCGCAGGGCTATAAGGGGAAGTGATGGTGAAGCAAGCAAGGGATTGGGCTCAGACTCAGCCCTAAGTTGCTGGTGCTCCCACAGAAAGTAACGTGAATTGTGCCTGCTTACTCTAAAGCTGAACCTGGACCAGGAACCATGAACCTGAGCAACACTGATGTGACCGGAGGAAGGAGATACCCAACCCGCTGGGTGAGCAAGATGCTTTTAAAATGGTACACAGGAGATAGCCAGCTGAAAAGACCCCGAGGTTATCCCTTTGCTGTACTGTGCGTGACTGAGGAAAGTAGCTTGCCATGCTATGGACAAGCAGCCAGGGGGGCAGTCACTCACCTGAATGCCATGATGATGACCAGAGCGATGATGGTACCCTGGAGGAAGCGTTGGCTGATGCAGGCTTGTTCTGTGACAGGAGACGGGGACTGCAGGACAAATGCAGGGGAATCAACTGCTTGTACGGTGCTGAACTCCGTAAGGCAGCTCTTTCTACTGCCTTAAACTTCCCTGGAAGGGGAGGACTTCCTGCCCCCACCCCAGCAGGAGGCCATTCCTCCTGCTTCATATAATGCCCTTCACTATCACTGAAGAATAAGTAGGACAGTTCCTCTAGAACAGCGTTTCTCAACCTGTGGGTCGTGACGCAAAAGTGGGTTGCAAGAATATATGTAAGGGTCACAAACAAACTTAAAAAATGGATCAAACTTTAAAATAGGATTCTCCTTTAAAGGAGAAAAACATGGGAAACCATGGGTTTTCCCTTGGAGGCTGGCAGAGTTCCAACTTGCAAGGGACTGCTTGGGGCCCCCTATGCCCCAAACACACCCCCAGAAATCGGGGTCAGGAGTGAGGGGCCAGGGGGCTGTTTTCTACTTAAACTGTTTACTGGGTCAGGACTAGCCATCAATGTTTACAAACAGGTCCTGGTACAAAAGGTTGAGAACAACTGCTCTAGAAGACACTGGCCAACAGTGCTGCACTTGAAGTGACTGTAGGAAGATAGTGGCTACAGGAGACTGGCAGTGGTAGGGGATAGGTGGGCCCGGGGATCTGAAGGCAGTAAGGCAGGTAACAATACTGAAAGTGCTGGAGACAGAGGGACTCCCCAGTGCTGGTACAACTTACTGGGTGCATCTACACAAGACACTACATTGCCATAGCAATGAGCTATGGTGATGTAGCTCATCACTATGGTGACGTAGCATTGGCAGGCACAAACCGTGATGCCAACACTTTGTAACCGTAGCTCATCACTATGGTGATGCAGTGTCTAAAAATAATTGTGCACTGCCAGGACTGCACAGTACCAGTAGGTACTAACTAGGCAGTCCTGGGCACGTGTAGGCGTAACATGTAGGTGTAACATCTCCATTCAAGCACCCCTACCCCCAACACACCATGCAGCTCCCCAGAGCCGCACCCCAGCTTCTCCTGCCCTCCAGCAGAAGCACAACAATGCAAAAGGCTTACATGCACAACAGTGTCCTGACACACACCCTCATGCTTTGCACACCACCTAACACAACTCCTGTTCCTTTGGAAAATGCCTTCTTACCTTGCTAGCCATTTTGGGGGGCCTCTTTTTGTGGGGAACACTTCCTGCACGGCTGAACTGACTTCCTGCTTGGCTGCAAAGGGAGAAGAAAGGTTTGAAGTGGGTAGGCTTTGGCAGCACACAGAGCCATAAAGCTCGGTGAAGGTGGAGTTCAGGGGTGGTAGCCCGTCTGTAACAAACTCGCATGGCACGTTTAGAGAATCTGGCTCAGAGAGCCCGGGGATTCAAAGCCCTGAAAGAGTGAAAGTCACTGCAGAATGAGTTGCTGCAATAGCCTTAACTCTGCCCCAGGGTCTGGGCCTAAGGGGAAATCTCACTTCATTCTCCCTGGTGCTGAGCTCCCTGTAGCTGTAAGGGGCTGCCCCTATCCAAGGCAGAATCTCCCAGTGCCCCACCCTGCAGTGCTAGGGTTGCCTGTGATTCAGGGTGCACATTTCTTCCCTGCTCCTCTGCCTCCTGCCTTTGGCCCTACCTGAAGGTCCCAGAGCTGACAGTCGACTTCATACTGTCCAAGCGCTTGAGCTTAGCCAGTTTGTGACTCCACCTCTCCAGCTCATCGATGCGGGTCTCCAAGTTGTCGGTCAATTTGCAAAGTTCCTTCACAGCCCCAACGTTCTCCATGAAGATCCGCTCCTGCCAGGGGCAGAAGCAGAAGGAATGAGTTTTCTCTGGGAGCATAGGGATAGACACACATGTGGGCAGTGGCCTGGCCAGATCAGGCTGCCCATCAAAACTAGTTTTCCCTCTTGAAATGTTCAAAATCTGCTCGAGCCCAACGGAAAGGTTCCAGACCACCCATCAGCACTGGGCCATGTAGAACGGTGCATCAGGAAACCCAGCCAAGTTCTCCACAGCTGTTTGGAACTGATAAACATTTGCAAGGGATTTATTTTACTTTGCACCAGCAAAACAGATAAAGGCACTGTCTCCAGTACTGGGTGTTCTTGGCAGCATGTACAGTTTTTATCTGTTACAAAGCTGTTGCTCACCTAGCCCCTCCCCTGCCCAGCCAAACTGGAAATAAACAGCACAAATCCTCTCTCTCCTGCCTCTCCCCACCCTCAATACTTTGCTCCACATGCAACAGTTTGTGAGACCTGAGCTACTTTGCAGCCTGTGCCCTAGGTGAAAACTGAGTTCCAAAGATCAGGGGGCCCCAAAGATACCATCCCACCAACTGCAGCCTCCTCAGTAAAATGAAAGAGCTCCAGTCCACACATCCCCATCAGTTCTAACTGCAGTACTGTCCCACCGGCACAGAAGTGGTCCCACCAATGTTGTTTCATCATCCCTGAAGCTTTTCTTTCACCGCTGTGCCTGGTCCTAACTGGGACAGGTCCTAACTAGGCTCTCTTGGGATAGCAACTGTCTCACATATGTGTAAGACTTGGGGGCAATTGAAACCCCTGGGGCTGGGGGATCATGGCTGCCGCAATCCCCAACGCTTGGGGATACATAAAATCCCCAGGGCCAGGGGTGCGTGAAACCTGCCAGCCCACACACACAGCCAGGACTGAGAGTCCCACACCTGATGGGGCTCTTGGTCCTGGTTGCACATGTGGCACAGCTGGGACTCAGAGCCCTGTCAGGTGCAGGACTCTCAGTTTGGCTGCACATGGCCTCTGTAGCTGGGAGACCCCTCAGCAAAGGGGGCTCCCAGCTGTGACAGCCTGCTGCTTGCCAATGCAGGGGAAGCCCAGGATCGGACTCCCCCTACACTTGTAATAAGGCACAACTGGAACTAAATGTGCAATTCTACAATTGCGCCCCCTGCCATGCACATGTGGCATGGCACATGGCACGATTGTGTGGATTATGCATTAGATCCATTTGTGTCTTTACCTGCATATGTAAAGGGGGCCTTAGCCTCACCTCATTTGACTCAGGAAGTTACTGGAGCATATTCTAAGGAAGTCCATTTGCAAGCTTCTGGAGAAAGAAAGGCAGATCACAGGCACCCAACATGGATTTACTAAGAATAAATCATGTCAAACTTGATCTCCTCCTTTGACATTTGGGTGAATGAAAGGAATACTGGGGATATAGTGTATCTGGACTTCAAGTTTGCTTTAGACACAAAACTGGGAAGGACTGCAAACACACTGGAGGACAAGTGCGCAACTTGAAAGGATCTTGACAGATAGGAAAGCTAGCCTGGACCTAACTGGATTAAATTCAGTGCTGACAAATGCAAAGTGCTACAGCTAGGGAAGAATAATCAAAAATACAAACACAAAATGGGTGACACCTGGATGGATGGCAGCATTACAGAGAAGGATCTGGGAGTCTTGGTGGCTCATAGATTCACTATAAGTCTGCAGTGTGATGCAGCTGCACAAAAGATAAATATGGTTTTGAGATGCATCAATAGAAGTGTGGCAAGGCACCGTTGGTGCCTCCCACTTTAAGGGCTGAGCCAAACAGCCAGCAGGTGCTTGACTACGGCAGCCATTTTAGAACTCTGGCCACCTATATATACAGAGCAGTTCCCTAATGGCAGAAACATTACCTGGCTGGAAGGTTGTATGAAACATCTTGGAGGTAAGGGCAGGAGCTTTGGGGGATGGTTTGGAGGCTCCTTGGTCCTGGGCATAACCTAAAACTGCACTCTGCTGGGAGTGGGTGGCCTGGTGGGGCTCCCAGTGGTGCAGGAGCCTCCAGAAAATGACAGGCCAGTTACCACCCTGGTGAAAGGTGGGTTGGGGTGCCTTAACCCCTAGCCCCCACAATATTGCGGATACAAGGGGGCCAGGCATGGCTATGGTCACCTGAACCCAAAGAGGGTGTAAGACCCAGGTGGGGCCAGGCATAGCTATGGCCACCTGAGCCCCCACCAGGGAGGGACGTCCTGTGGCCTCAGTGCAAAGGGGTGGAGATGTGGAGCCCCAGTTTGTGTGTGTATGAGTATGAATAGAGTTGCCCTGGGAGGGGCCAGGGCAAACTTGGCCCCAGTTGGGTAACTGGCTGGCCACTACCCCGGTGAGGGTCACAGGAGAGGCCCAAAAGATGGTACATCTGCCACCCAAGGTGTGCGCTAGATAAAGCCTATGGCTGAAGGGGTCTGCTCTGAGAGAGGGAGCAAGGTGGTATGTGTTGTTGATGCATGGAAGAGACCCTGTGAGAGGCCCTAGTGAAGAGGGCGGTATGAATGTGTGTGTCTGGGACCTGACAACAAGGGCTAAGCTAGGTTTGGCTGTAGGCCAGGAGCACTGTCACCTGGATGCCATCTGCGAGGCTTGCGCTGTGGTGTAGGGGAGGAATGGAGCCGCAGATAGCACCCCCTGGCATCAGGGCAAGAATGGGCAGCCTCCCGCTTAATTAACACCACAGCTAAGAAACAACAAGGCATGGCAGGTGAGGAGACAGGCAGTTGGCCCAGAAACAGGTGGGCGGGCCAATGGCAGACCGGCCCCAAGAGAGCCCCCTGTTACAAGAAGCATTAGGTGCAAGACACAAGAAGCGATTGCCTCTCTGCTCAGCAATGGTTAGGCCTTATCTAGAGTACTGTGTGCAGTTTTGGGCTCTGCATTTTAAAAAGGATGTGGAGAAGGTACAGAAGGTCCAGAGGCAGGTGACAAAAATGACAAAGGGCTTGGAAGGTAAGTCATACAAGGAGAGACTGAAATGAAATACACATGTTCAGCTTGTGGAAAAGGTGCTTAAGAGGGACCTGATAGCAGTCTTCAAATACCTGACGGGCTGCCATAAAGAAGAGGGAAAACACCCTTTTCTATCTGTCTGCAGGCTGTAGGACAGCCCAATGGCTTGAAGTTGCAGCAAAGTAGGATTATACCGGATCTCGGGAAAGATTTCAGTTACAATGAGGCAGTAGAATATACTGCCTAGGAAAGTTGCAGCCTCTTCATCGCTGGAGGTGTTCAAAAGGTTGGTCAGCCACTGGTCAGGGATGATCACTATGCCTATGTTCTGCTATGGGTATTTCCCCAAGCTTCTGGACTTTGCTGTTTGCCACATGGGGATTTTCTCCCCTCCTGCTTCTACATGTGTCAAGGGTTTGTTTGGTTTTTTGGTTTGTTTTTGTTTTTTTAAAGCTTTCCTCAGAGGCACTTGGTACTGACTGCAGCAAAGGCTGAGGATTTTGACCGGAGTGTGCCAATGCTCCCATGGAGACTTAAGCCCAGATGTTCCTGGCTAGTGGGTCTGCCCCTTGGCTCAGGGTCAGATTGATCGTCACATTTGGGGTCCGAAAGAAATTTTACCCTATGGTCAGATTGAAATAGACTATGGAGGTTTTGCCTTTCTCTGTAGCAGGGGGCCTGGCCCTCTTCCTGGGATCTCTCAAGCATATTTTAATAATCTCTGCAGCAGCAGGATGTTGGCTGCCACTGTCCCTGCTGCTTTACCTGTGGCAGATTAGGGTGTTATATTGTGTGTTGTGTCAGGGTGGACTGTAGTTTTGCTAAGAGGCAAGACAATGGATTTGTATAAGATGGTTTGGATAGGCATGATCCTGCCTCAGGCTCGCAGCTCAACTAGATGGCCTCTCAAGGTCCCTTCCACACCTTCTGTATGATACCTATAAAATCTATGAGGCAAGCAAGTACTCTGAGCAAGAGGGATTGTGACTCAATTTCATTTCCAACTTTATGTTCAAGAGGGCAAAAGAAACGACACCTGGCATGCTGAAGTTCACTGCCATCCCCACCCTCAACCTCTCATTGCAAGAATCAGGGCAGCAGGCAGACAGGCAAGCTAGATTTCCCCAGGTGGTGCTGTTTACCTGAGTAGGTCTGGCTGCCAGCAGCCTATTTCCAGGTGGCCCAGCTGCCAGCAGCTTTTTCAGTACCCAGTAGGCTACTCAACAGAACAGATCCCTTTCTGTCTAGCCCTTGGCTTCTGACTCCTTATTCCTGAGCTTCTGCCTGTAGACTTCTTGTTCCAGACTCCAGCACCTGACTTCTTTGCTCCACACTCTCCAGCTCCCAACTCCCTTGGCCCATGGTTCTACTTGAAGTGACCACCTAGATCTCAGTCCCATACAGATCTCAGCTTTCTGGCCCTCCTGTTCCTGATCCTTTGACTCTTGATTCTAGTCTGGACCTTGTCTTGTCTTGATTCCCTTGTGACCCTGTAGGATCAAGCCCAAGCCACCTATGTCCCAGTTGTACTCCTGAACCTTGTTCTCATTAGTGGTGCTCTCTGGAGGAGGAACTAACCTTATTCACCACCAGAAAGTTCTCAATGGTCTTCCCATTGGCAAACACCAGGTCCCCAGTGTCTTTCACAGCTTCTGGGAGAATCTCTTTTATTTCCTGAGCAATGACACCTGCAGAAAAATAGTATCATTGGATCAATGGACCTCAATGGTTCCAGCCCCTGAGGACAAGAACAGATGAAACTTTTTTATACCAGTGTAACTGGCAAGCAGACAATGCAAACCCCTAAACCAGGGTAACATGACCCAATCTAGTGTAGAACTACTCCTCAAGGGATCAAGAATAAAAACACTACCTGTGCAAGTTACATCAGTTTAGGTTTCATCTCAGGGTAGATCCATCCTGGAGTGGAACTTTAGCACATGGATATTACCTACTCCCCCTGCCACCTAATAGCAAGGCGAGTAATAACCACCTACTATGTGAGTTAACCCAGATAGCTGCACCTCCATCCATTACAGATCCCTACCTAGTTTAAATTGGCATACAAATCTTATGTATGATGCATAGGATATGCAGTCACCTGACCATGCCTTAAGTCACTTTCCAAAATGGCCATCTATTTCCTACAAATCAGTCAGTGGCTGACATGAATCCTTCACTCTGTGTGGCAACTAACCATATATCAGTCTATAAGTGACTGGTTCCTAGAAGGCTTACACTGTGGTTAAATTCCAGCCAATGAAAAGCAACCAGGCAAGGGACTTTTGGCTACCGGCTGTTCTCAAGTTATACCCTTATTGTATGTGCACTTAGTTTATTGGGCTGCTGCAGCGCACAAGGGAGAGGCTTCAGCACAGAGGCCAGGGACCCAATAGAGCAGTGGAAGGATTTGTGTACCTTGACTGATGCACATATAGCAGTTTGCAGAACAGACATGGAAGCTTTAATAACCCAATACAACTACACATATCCTATGTAGAACCTGTGAGGATGATGTCCAGGGTAGTGTACCTGTCTCTAGGGTATTTTCAATCCCCATGGTGGCAGCAAACTCTGGCTTATAGTTATAGTGCACCAGGCGCATACGGGAGATCCTCTTCAGCTGTTCAGTGGTGTCCACCTGGGAAGAGGCAAGCACAGGTCAAGGCTATAGTAGGATGCTGACTCCTAGAAGTCCCAGAATTAGGTCCAGGCAGCCATAAGTGAAGACAACAATGTTTCACACCAATGTCTGCAGCAGTGATTCCACTGACACTGAACAAGAACACCCACCTCCCCAGGGCCACCTGCTAGGCCAGGTCAGCTACCAACCAGGACTATAATCCAGTTCTTGGTTTCATCAAACAAATAAAACAAAATGGAGTGACCCACCCTCACACACCAGGGGACAAGGCAGAGAAAGTTCTGCATGTGAAGATTACACTTAGGACTGCCAGGCTCTGGAATGGACTCCCAAGGGAGGTGGTGCTCTTCAAGAGGAGGCTGGATAGATATTTGGCTGGGGTGTTATGACCCCAGCACTCATTCCTGCCCAGGGCAGGGGGTTGGACCTGATGATCTGTTTAGGTCCTTTCCGACCCTAAGCACTATGATACTGTCCCTCATAGCACTTGACCTTGCTTTGAGGGATTAATCAGGGCAAGCAAATTAAGAACTGATCAAGGCATTTCCCAGAATTCTGCCCAACCCTGCTCTACAGTTCGATGAAGTTTGGTTCATTGTGGTCAATGGTTTTCATTCTGTTGCTTCTGCATTTCCTGGTTCTAGCTAGAATCCAAAGAGCTGAATTCCCAATAAGACAGCCTGTGCCCAGCAAGCAGATGGGTGGTTGCATTCTTGTGGTACGCCCAGCCTGGGAGGCAATAGGCAAATCCCAGGGTCTTAGGATAGACCTCACTCTTTGAGACTGCCAGCTCAGCTAGGCACATGGAGCAGGCTCATGTCAACACTCAAACTGTGTATGTTCTTCCCCAGTGCCATGACCCTCTTTAGAGCCACTTGCTGGGCCCAGGTCAGCCCTCACCTCCTGGATGTCCTCTTTCACGCGGATATCGGATGGGTGCATCAGTGAACCCATGACTTTCACATTGCCGTGAACTACAAGGGCTTCATCAGGACGGTCGGTGTTGATGCCAACTCGGCCATGGTGAAAGACTGTGTCAGGGAGCTGAGCCCGCTGCCAGAGAACATCACTGTCACTCTCAAACTGTCCTGGGTTTGAGGCCTGTGAAGAGACAATGCAGCAGTGACTGGAGAGTCTCATTGGCAGCAGTGATTACTGAGAGACGAAGAAAGGGCTGGTAAGCTGGGAGCAGAGGGGAGCTCTACATGACACCCCTTACTGATTTAACTCCACTAGACAGACACCAAAGGGCCAGGGTGCCATGCATGGCTCTGTGGTGGTGGGCATCTCCCACACACACAGAAAGCTGCCTGCGTTAGAACTACAAGAGGAGAAGAAGCTCTTGTGGTTGCCTGCAAAAGCAAAGAGCTTCTGGTTCAAGCAGGGTTGTTTCACCCCTCATATGTATGTAAAAGCAAGGAAAACTGGAATAAAGTGCAGTGACAGGACCTATGTTGCAGCCTGCCCACATGGTACAGCCACAACCTTACTCTGGGAATGAGGTGTATGTTGCATGAATGACTGTCAGGGGCAGCCTGATCCCTCAACCTGGAGAGCCATAAGATGGCTTGGGTCTAACTGGCAAAGGTTTGTGAACCCAGTGACATGAGAAGCACCCTTTGTAACAGGTCCTTAAACTGTGAGCCTTCTGGACCAACACAAAGCCTGAGGCCCAGCAACAGCAGCCCTGCAAGGCAGAGTTAGAGAGGCAACTTGCTTGGATAACCCCTCCCTACCCTTTCTGCCTTTCCTGCCTCTGGCTCACAGCAGCGCTGCCAGGGAATGACAAGTAAGTCCATGGGGGTGTGAGGCAGAGCTCTGCAGCAGCGCAAGGCAATGCTGCTAAGTCAGACAAAGCAGTGGGCGACAGGAATTTTATGTGGGCTGAGGCGAAGGCAGGAGTCTTATCCCAGAGACCACAGCACAAAGCCCTGCCTGCCCCTTGTGAAGAGGCAGCCCTGGGGGGTGTAGTGCTCTCTCCTAGTTGAAACACAGCTCTGTTCAAGGCTCTCCCTACAGGAACTGATCAAAAGAAACAGCTGCAGTGTCCACATCCATTCCTTTCCTTTCCAGATTGCTCCTATTCTGAGATAGCTGCCACCTGAGCCTTTGGAGCTGTTCCAACCATCATATCACCTGAACAGGGATGGCCCAAGTGCAGGGGACTGCCATAGAAAGAACAGTGCATGGGCTCTCACTCCCTGAATCATGCAGGGATGTGCTGCTGGGATGTCATGAGGAGACACTGGCCAAAAGCTATCTGTGCGCAGATTAAGCTATGGCTGCACCTATGATAAATCTGGACATCCTAGACTGTTTACTACTCCCAGGAGGTCTATATGGAAGCTGCGCAGTTGATCACGCACCTACTTGTCTATAAAATCCAGGGTCCCCATCCATCCAACCTGGTCCTTTGCTACAGAACATGGATAAAACCCTTAAAAGGCAGCTGAGCTGAGATCATCATAGTGTCTCGGCCTTTTTTTTTTTTTTTTTTTTTTAACTGCTTCCTGCTTCTGAGTGGCTGTACAAGACCCAGCTTCTTCCCCAGAGCTACAGTCCTCGAGCCCCAACCGAAACACTCCCCAGGGCAGTAGGAGGCTCCTAGAACCAAGCCCTTTGCGGATTAAATATCCTTCCTCACAGCCTTGCCTGCAAACTTGAACACTGCTGCCTCAGCTGCTCCAGATGGCATTACCCCTTGGGCCTATGTGTCTAGAGAAATCTGCAGTGGCTCTCTCTAAGGCAATCCTGACCATGCAGATCCCTCACCCCAAACAGCCCCTTCCCTAGACCCAGCCTCGGTGACCCTCCTGAAGAATGTGCCACTTTCTCTGTCCATGTCTCCCCGCTGGATTTCTATTAAGGCTGGGAAATGGGGGTTCTTTGGCTGGTTGTTGTGGGCTGCCTTCCTCATTCAGTGCATGAGGATTGAGAGTGGGGAGCACTGAAAAGGCAGGAAAAGTTGGCAGCATATCCCAGACAATGCAGCAAATGGCAGTGGAGCTCCCAAAAGCCGGAGAGAGGTGTCCAGAAGGACAGAAAAGTGTGGACTTACTCTGACAATGATGCGCTCAGAGATATGGGCTGCGAGCGTGTAGTTTTGACTTTGGGCATGTGCCTGCAGGGCCACAACCAGCATGAAGTACCTGCAAACAAGAGATACCTATAAGGGCACCAGCAAAGTACTCATTCCAAGATGGACATATTTGATACTGGCTTCCCATACAGAGGTGCCCCGCCCGGTATCTGTCCTGGACACAGCTGGTATCAACTCCCCTCAAACAGACAGGGATGCTTTGCACAATGACATGTGGGTGATATCCCTGCTCTGAACAGTTTCTGGGTTTTTGGTTGTAGCCATGTTGGTCTAAGGACATAGGCAGGCAATTTTTTGGGTAGAGGGGAGGGGAGGAAAGGGGAGAAAGGTGGGGGTGGGGGAAGATAAAGTGTAAAAGGCCAGGTCTGGCAGGTACTGATGAATCAGATTTATGACACATTACACCTTCCTGACATTACAACCTTCCCGTCCCCTACTTTTCTTCCCTTTATCTTCCTAATTTCCAGCTATTTCCTTTTTCAGAACCAGCCTCTCTTCTACCTTGTATTAGAGTCTCCCTTACTCACCTTTGGCTTCACCTTCAACTAGCAAAAATTTTCTCTATGAGCTGGACCTGCCTGGGCTAGCCCAGTATTCAGGCCAGAGTCTACCACACACACCCAGTTAAAAGAGCAACTTGATTAGGGTGCAGGCTTCGTTATGAGTTAGATGCTCAGGAAGCTGTCAGAGGGGAGAAGAGAAGAGGTGGCATGGCTTGAGCACAACTACCATCTCTCAGATGGGATGTAAGCCCAAGGTCCTGGCCACTCGCTGTCACTGACCAGCTCAGCTTCTTGCTGGTTCATGATCTTCAGTGTCTTCCAAGGATGGCAGTGGAGTTGCTCACAACCAACCCCTGGATCTCACCATCCCTTTGCCCACTCCAACAAGATGCCTTGACTAAAACAGCAGTGCTCCCAAATGGCAGACAGCTGAATGTCACTCCACTAACCAAATGGTTCCCTCTTCTCCTTCCTCCTCACCCACTCCCCATAACAGCCAGGAAGAGATCATGTTGCTGCTCACCTCTGGTCAGGGTTAGGCTTGCCTTTCTTCCTCATGTTATTGGCTGTGGTCTCGCTGAAGTGCAACCGCCCCACAGTGACCTTTGTAACCTGCTCAGAAGGCAGGTTGACCCTGGGAAAGGGGAAGCAGGAGAGTAATTGAGAACACGGATCAAAAGGAGGCCACATGAAGAGTGGTCATTTTCCCTGCTGCAGGAGAACCAAACCCAGTTCCAGTAATCTGGGGAACCCCCACATTTTCTTCATGTCAACGGGTGCCACCAACAAAATGCACAAAATCTGTGTCCAGGGGAAAGGCAAATTCCCCCACAGACTTAATATGTTCAAGATGATGAGGATGGAACCTCATCTGGGGAAGAGACAAAGAACATTTTATATACCCAACCCACCTGGTCCCTCCATCCTAGCACCTCAATGATCCCTGGCCCCACTCTCCATTCCTTCCACTCCTCAGGTGGTTCTCTGATGGTACAAACATGCATGCACACAGCAGCCACAGGAGCACTTACGTGACAGGGTTGAAGGGACGTTTGCTACGATCAGACTGCGACTGTTCTATGTTGATCGACTGGTTCAAGGCCTCTAGCTGAAGACAAGATTCAGGTACATGGTAGAGACAGGAATGTTGCAGCTTTACCCACCCTCACCCCCTTCTCCTCACACAGGTGTATAATCCAGCCACCTGCCAATCTGCCAGTCTTGAGCATCGAAACTGCTGCTCAGGAGAGGCTTGGTTACCTTGTGCCTCTCCTGCTACCCATCACCTGTGCTGCCACCTCCTCTCCAGTTGTGAGTCTGGAAAGGTAGAGGGCTGAAGCATCACAGAGTTTGGACCAAATGGCCTCCTCCTGAGTTCTCCCATCCAGACTCACACATACAAGGGCCAGTCTCCAGAGAGATGTGCATGCACACAGGCCAGATTTCCCAGGGGCAGCTTCCTGAGTGCCTATGTCAGAAATACTCTGTGACTGACTCTGGCCTACCGCAGCCCAGGAGGTGGGGCTAGAGTATAAGGCTCAGACCCTTGCTTTGGGCAAAAGTACTGGTCACAAAACATGACCCACCCACACCCAAGCAGGCATGATCACACAGATGGCACACTCAACACCCTTGTCTATCAGGCACACTCACTCACAGTGCAGCATTACTCACCTTTTCCACACACAGGCACCCACAGAGTGTGTCGAAGGTGCATGTTCAACATTTAGGCCTCTATTCACACACATGGTAACAAAATACACATTCACCCATGCAGATTCACACACGCACACTCCTTGACACGTACCATCCTACACACACCAATACCGTGTTCATCCACCCCATGATTTTTTCCAGACCTCTGGTATTGTAGATTCTCCTTTCAGGACTTACCTTGACTCCATGCAGCTTCAGATAGAAGCACTCGAGGGGTTTCAAGCCCTCTGGCGTCTTCACATACTTGGGATCTCCAAGCATGCCGATGTACACTGTGACCTGGAAGTGGTTTTTCTTCTGGCACACAAAGGCATCATCACCCACTGAGAAGTTGAACCCTTTGTCTGCATCCACCCGATACGTTAGCATAGGGCTGCATGCCATAATGGGGAGAAAAGGGAGTAGATGTCAGACAGAAGGCCAACAATCCACTGAGAGCTACACATGACCTGATGACTTATGATGACTTATGCTAACTAGAAGAGTGTAAATAATACCTGAAAAGAGGACACCTTCCAACTTGTGAATGATTGTGCAAGCCACCTTTCCTCACCATCACAACCAAATAACACCAGTAGGGGCAAGTACTGCTAACATGTGAAAGTAGCATGAGGGAAGTAGGGTTGTTAAAATTCAGGCAACTGGAAACAAAGGGGAAAGAGCCAGCATCATGTAACCATTCCCCTTTTCTGCAGACCATCTGCCAGTGCTGCACAGGTCATTCAGAAACCTGGCTTCACAAACTTCTGTCTTATGCTGACTTTTCTCCAACAACTTCAAAATGCTGATAGGCACAAAATGGCCTGCAGCTAGTTCTGGATTCAGACAAAACAACTGTCTCACAGCAAGTCTGCACAGAAACTTCAGGAAGAGAGTGCAAAAGTATCCCATGTCCAGGAGGAATGTCAGGGTGATTATACCAGACCGAAAGGGAAGGTACACCACGGAACAAAACTTTGATCAGGATACAAACACCCAGCTCTTAGAAAAGGTGCCATGTGATCCTTACTGATCACCAGTGGACCTGACCAGTGGACCAGTGGCTTACATCTCACTTGAGAAGGATGTTGTCCAATAACACACCTCCCCTTTGCACCACACTGGAGCAGATTCAAAGCAGATTCAGAGAGAAGAAAACTCCACAATGAACCACCAGCACTACCTCCTGTTCCCCCTGGGCTTTTCTTCCATCCACCTACTGTCCAGGCTTAATGTATGGGATCAGTCTCCTGAGTGCTGCTTCTCAAGATTCAGAGTTTGGGCCGGAGAGTCAGACTGATCCAGCATCTACATTAAGGCAAGCGCTGGACTCTCTCTATAGGCCTTCTATCTTGGACAGGACCGTCTGAAGCCTCTCCCAGTGACTGCTCAGACTCAGATCTCTACATCACTGACCCTGGCCTTGCTGCCAGGCTGTACCCACCCCGAGCAGGCAGATTCCCAGGAAAATCAGAACCACCTGCTGCTGCTGCTGCTTACAGTTTCCAGCTCCCACAATGCCACGTCCAAGGTGGGAGGGAAAACTTGGGCTGCAGAGAAGAAACACACACACCAGCTGGGAAGGTTTAATCTATGTCTCCTTAACAGCCTGGTTACTGTGGTAACAGTGAAAATATGTGGCCTTCGCAGTGAAGCCCCTTTTCTCCCACCTCCCAAGATCTCTGGCCTGCTGTCTGGGGGAGCAAGGGGCCCCCTCAGCTGTGCTGCCTGTCAGGTACATGTGGGTAAGCAAGCCCACTTGCATCACTCACTCTCACCAAGCATTTCAACTGGGGGAGGCAATATGCTTCCCCCGTCTTTTTTTCTTTGCCCAATTTTCAAATCATAGGTCACACTGTTTTGTATTGAAGACAGCGGTCAGCAACATTCTCTGTTCCCAGAATGAGGTGGCTGAGGTCTGAGGCAGGTTGGTGTTACAACCCAGCCTCTGCTGCCACCAAATGCCACCAAACCCTGTGCCACTGGAAAGCTATCAAAAGCCAACCCCTAGCTCTGCGGGCCACATCCAACCAGCCAGCCATAGATGGCTGACCCCTGTTTTAAGAGAATGTGGGCAGAATGGGAGCCAGGCCTTGCTTTTCACTGCAGGCATTACAAAAGACCATGCCTCCTTTCACTAAAGAAAGCACAGTCCCATATTCCTCCCAGTAGAGAGAGATGGGTAGATAGATAGCATTAAGAAGAGTGAGTAGGATGGAATGGTGGCCACTGATGATCAGATTCCTAAGCCAGACATTGTAGGAAGCTGGTAAATGCAGAAAGGATCGCTCCCCTTTCTATACTAACTCTCCCCAAGGCCAAGTCACTACAGTGCTCCATGGCTGCCAGACCTTAAAAGGATCCTCCGATTCCTGCAGAAACACCATTCATTCTCCCAGGTGCATCCCAGTGACCAGCCTGCTACACAATAAGATACACGCTTCTACTGGGTTCCCCCAGAAGGCAGGGTACTTTGCACCAGGAGAGAGCTGAACAGCAGCAGTAGGCCAAAGGAGTTTCAGAAAGTTCTCCAATATCATCTTCAACTTTTTGCTGAGATGTGGCCAACACAAACAGCAGGTCTCAGCATGCCACGCTGTATCCCTGATCTATGCAGCCTGCCCACCAGGCCTGCTGGGCTTTCCCCACTACTGCTAGAAATGCAACAATTATGCACAGAAGAGAGAAGATATTCAGGGATCCTCTCTTCAAGGATTAATGCAAAGAACCTGGAACCTAATAAAAGATCAACAATCAAAGAAAGCAGCAACAGAAACAGTAAGTGGGTCTTTTGTGTAGAAGCCACATCCTGGCCTACCTTGTTCTGACATCCATCCATCTCACACAAGTTTCCCCCCTGCAGTGGCCTATCAGATTACTCCCATCATGCTGCCAGCTGAGATTTTTTTTTTCAATATAATTTGTATCCGAGGCCAAATTAGCCAAAACTAATTCCAAATCCAAGAGTTCAGAACCATAAGTGGCCCTACAACTGGCAAGCATCCTCCACCTGCACCTGGGGCTTCAGATATTTCCAAAACCTTTGGCGGGCATCCTATGTGCAGGCCCAAGCCTTGAGGCTTGGGGTTTGGATGCCCCCGAGTTTTGCTTGCCCTTAGCCATAAGGCCTTCGGAGCAAGCAAGGGAGGAAACTCCCATTTCCATAAACTGGGCTTAAAGCTGCTGCACCTCAGCAGGTACTGAACCATGCCAGAAGAGCCAAGATACACCACACATCAGTTGTGTCACTGCAGACTCCCTTGCAGTGGGGAATGGGTTAATGCTGAACAAAGTCTCTGGGGTGCTTCCAGGCTCTGGTGAGCAAACTCCCAGGAATCTCCATAAATAACCGTTTCCTTCTTTCTTGAAGCACCAGAGGGCCCTTGGTCTGCCTGAGATGTACCCTGAACAAAACCAGATGAGGGAAGGAAAGTGCACTACCTTAGCCAAGAAGAATGAGAGGAATTTCTCCCTCTTTCTCTCTCTCAACGCCCCCCCCACCCCCCTCCCGCCCCCACCCAGAGTATTAGGCTTTTATTTTGCCATCCCTGTCTTCCTGCAAAATTCCTTTCTTTTCCTTCTGGTTCTTCTTTCATAGGACTCAGTACACGACAGGCCCAGGATCTATTGAATCTGGTATCCCATCTTTGACAATGTCCAGCACCAGATGCTTCTTCAGTGGAAAGTGCCAGTGAAAGGCAGATGAGGATGATCTCCCCCAACAATGGGGCCCTGCCCCTTCTGTTCACTTTTATTCAGGTGGTCCATTCCTCACTGTTCATTTTCATGGGTCCATCACAAATTGGACCCCTGAAAGCATCCTAATGAGGTCTTTCAGGCCTGGGTCGTCAGACAAGTCAGATCCACCACATACACAGCCTGTTCCTCCAATGCCCCTCCCCCCCCACACACACACACACACACACACACACACACACACACACACACACCACTTTGCACAAATACACAGCTCACCCACTCTAGCCCTGCACTCTTCACCTCTCCAGCAAGTGTAGTCTCTTCTCATCTCCTCTCACCACACCCATTACCTCCACAGGTGCCCATGGTGCAGGCTACCCTGTATATACCTCGGCACTTCTCACGGACAACCAGCTGCAGTTTAGAGAGGGAGAAGAAGGAGGGGAGGGATTCCCAAAGCAAACAGGAGCCTTACAAACATGGTCTGGCTAATGTCTACTTGAACTGATGGCTGCTCAGCACACAGACGCAGAGCTTGAGCCCCTCAGCACATCCCCCTCCCCCTGCTTCTCAAGAGAGACAGAAATGCCACTGCCCTGCAGAACCCCCTTCCCCAGGGTCTGGTTCACTGTAGCTTCAGACAGAGCAAACTGCCTGATTGGCTGTGAGTGAGGTCATCTCCATGGGCAACAATCCTAAGCAAACTTACAGGGTCTAAGGCAAAGACTGTTTAACAGCGTGTAAGACTAGACGGGAACTCTGCGATTATCTGGGCTGCCCCCCTAAGTAATTCAGACCTGAGAATAATTTCACCCAGTGGTTTCTGCGTCAAACCCATAACTTCTAGCTGGTGTAGGACATCTTTTTTAGGAAGGAAAAAGGCCCATACCTCAGTCTTGATTTAAAGACTTCACATAAGAATTCATCTCTTCCTTTAGTCGATTGTTGCCCTTCTTAATTCCCCTTCCCAGAAAAAATTCCAGCCTGTAACATTAAAGACTTCACATAAGAATTCATCTCTTCCTTTAGTCGATTGTTGCACTGCTTAATTACCCTTCCCAGAAAAAATTCCAGCCTGTAACAGCAAAAATGTGCCCCAAGTCATGGGAGGGGTCACTGCCTCTATCTCTATAATAATGCACTTTTTGAGAATGCTTACATCCTCTCAAAAAGTCTCCACTCAGCCCATTTGGGGCCCCTGGCACCCATGATCACACTGCATGGGGCCCTGGCCAACTGGGACCCAAGTCCTGTTGGCTTGGAGATTATTTACATACATTTTGTGGGTCCTTCATATGCTTGTGATGGAGGACTGCAGCCAATGTGGCACTGATGGGGGACAAAGGACTCTGGTTTCCAGGCCCTGCTTTTAAGAATAAAAATGAAAACTGATCACTGAGGCATTGGTTGGCCTCATCTCCGCCAAAGGAATCTCTGGCTGCAGCCAAAGTCACACTGGTTCTTTCTAGTGAGAGTGCAACAGTCAGAGGGCAAAGTCCCGGGAACACAGAGGTCTAGGGTCAAAAGGATTATTTGAGCCAAAAGGCCTCTGCTGATGAGAAGTAGATTAACACAAGATTCAGAAGCCCAGGATTGGAGAATAGGCAATTTCTCCCAGAGCTGAGCAAAAGGGACAGGTTATGAACTCCCCAAAGTCAGTGTCTAGCATCAAGGATCAGGGGGACAGGCATCTGC